TTCCGTCATCCTGCTTCTGCATCAATACGCCGCCAGTGGCATAACCCGAGGCATCAACCTCAATGCGCGTCTCCCGATTAGGGTCGTACAGCGCCAAGACTGGAGTCGTCGCGAAGAGCCGCTTGAGCTCATCGAAAGCGCGCTGCTCTTCCTCGCCCCAATGCCATGGGTCGTTCCCTGTGAGTCGGTCGAGTGGTCGCGAGATCTTAGCGAAGTCCTTAATAAAGCGGCGGTAGAAGTTGGAAAACCCCCGGAACTTCTGAACATCTTTTTTGTTCCGGGGTACCGGCCACTCATTAATTCCTTTAAGCTTCGCGGGATCCATCGCCACCTCATCGCCACCGAACACATAGCCGACGTAGTCGACCTTGGGAACGTCCCATTCGCACTTCTCAGGCTTCAGGAATAGATCATTATCCTGAAGGCGGCGGAGAACCTCGCGTGTGACCTTCTCATGCTCCTCCTTGTTGGTGGAGAAGATGAGTATGTCATCAAGGTATACGAGGATCTTGCCACCGACGATGAGATCGTGGAAGATCTCGTTCATCATCGCCTGGAAGGTCGCGGGGGAATTGGTGAGGCCGAAGAACATCACCAAGGGCTCGTACAACCCTCGGTTGGTCACAAAGGCCGCCTTCCATTCGTCACCGGCTTTGATCCGGACGTTGTTGTATCCCCATCGGACATCGAACTTGGTGAAGAGCATGGCGCCGCGGAGCTTATCTACCATCTCGGCGATCAGCGGCAAAGGGTAACGATTTTTGACTGTGATCGCGTTCAATCGGCGGTAGTCCTGCACGGGTCGAAGCGTCCCTTCCTTCTTTTTGATGAAGAAGAAGGGGGACGAGATGGGCGACTTCGATTCCCGTATGTAACCCTTCGCTAGTTGCTCCTTGAGGAACTTGTCAAGCTCCTCCTGCTCATTGTTCGACAGGGGGTACACCTTCGAATGGAATGTCGAATAGCCGGGCACGAGTTTGATTGCGTGATCATAAGGCTTCCTTTCGGGTAGCCGTTCGGATGCTTCCTTGGAGAAGACATTCAGGAACTCGTGGTACTGTTTAGGTACCGACTCTTCGGCGGTCTTAACGACCTTCTTTTTGATCTCTTCTTCAGCGAACAGCTGGGAGTACGTATGTCCGGCTGCGACGAACAGCTGAGGAGCGCCGGGAAGCGTGATGCCTTGCTCCCAGGCTTCGATCAAGTCGGCCTCATCCCACTCTACCTCCACCGGATCTTCTTCGGGTTCGAAGTCGGGGAGTACCTTACTCCGGCAGGCACCTATAGCCGACCGTTTGGATTTCGGCGAACGCCTGCGCGCCGTGGGCCTGTCCCCCGTATCACGCGCAGTCGCTGCTTGCTCCATTCGGCCAGTCCTCCTGGCACTGCACGTTTCAGGGCATCGCGACAATTTGAGGGAGCCCTTCTCCCAATCTATTTCTGGGTTGTGCTCGCGTAGCCAATCCAACCCGACGATCACATCTTCCGGACCGATGTCCGTGACCGTGAACACCGTCTTCTCGACGTGCTCTCCTATATGCATCTGTAGCACTGCTACCTCCGAGATGCTTCCATCCTTGTTCAGGGTGCCGTCAATATTATACAGCGGAATTGGTTCCTTCAACTTCCGCATCTGCACCTTATTTTCTACAATGAATCGCTTGTTGATGAACTTCGTGGTGGCTCCGCTGTCCACCATAGCGATCACGTCCTTGTGCCGTCTTTTCCCTTGGAGTCGAACTGGAATGTGAAAATGCTGGGACCCCTGGTCCAACTCATACACCATTGCAGTCGACAATACATTATAACGATTACATGATATACCCGGCCCGACGCGTGCGGCACGAAGCGCGGACCGGATCAAAAACCCTCCTCCTTCATCGCCCGATAGTGCTCGAGCTCTTCGCGCATTGACTTCACCTGTGCCATTAAGTCCGCCAGCTCCGATTGCTCGGATTTCGCTGAAGCGGCACTTATACTTGCCGAGGGTGATGTCATGACGGGGGTGCTTGTCGCGGCCTGGGTGGATCCCGAGGCAACCGTAGCCCGCGCATCGGCGCGTTTTGTGTAAGGCTTGTCCTTACAATTGGGGCACTCGAAGCGTCGGTACCCTTGCTTCCCACAGCCGAAGCATGTGCCGGGGAAGTTTCCTTTTCCGATGGCCGCATTGATGCTGGCCGAAGCTGCGTGCGTCGAGGGTGCACCACCACGTGCCCCACCGCGTCCTCGACCCCGAGCCGAGAAGAAATTGTTCAGCTCAGGCCTACGGGCCCGGCTGATGTCGAGGATCTGCTCGACCTCGGTGGCGCGCTTTTCAGCTGCTTGCCATGTGGCGAAGGTCTCGAGCTCGATTTTGCGGTAGACGCGGGAGGGGATGCCGCTCAGGTACTTGTCGCGTAGCTCCAGGTCCCCATACCCAGAGCGGTCCGCCGGACCCTTGAACAACGCGGAGAACTCCGCGGCGGTGCGTTTTTCACGGACCGACCTGTCCGCGCAGAGCTTCGCCAGCTCTACTTGTGCTGCCGCCTCGTCGTCGAGATTTCCGAAGCGGGCCCTGAAGGCGGCTGCAAAGGCTGCTTCGTTTGCAAATGGGGTCGTGACCCCTTGCACTCCTATCTGTACCGATACGAGCTGGGCGAAGTAGGGAGTGGCCCAAGCGCGGGCGTCTCCATCAAGCAGGCTAAGTGCGACCTGCACCTTGAGTTCGATGGTGGTCAATGACGTGTTGATCAACCAGTAGATGCGTAGCTGCGACAGGAACCGATTGCACTCGATGACGGTCTTGCCATCGTAGCGGAGCGGGAGGAGGAGCTTCAATGTTTCCTTATCGAGAGCGGCAGCGGGAGAGGACATTATCGGCGACGAGGGGGACGAAGGACTGCCCGCGGACGAAGGCGACTGTTGTGACTGTCCGCCGGGCGGACTTCTCGGGGAACGAGTGCTTGAGCGGCCTCGCGGCGGCGACGGCGGTGAAGGCGGTTGAGGAAGCCCGGAGGCGGGGTTACGTAGGACAGGGACTGGAGTCGAGGCGGTGACCGCTGACGACGAGCTGGCCCAAGAATGCGGCGGAGTGTCGCGGGGCTCGGTCTTGGGAGGCCTTTCCAGCCGCGGCCCCAGGGAGGGCTGGGGGATCGCTTGAGGGGTCGCTGAAGGCTGTGCGACTGCTTCAATTCCTCGAGGGAGATAGGGATCTCCTCGCGCTTGACCTGTACTGGCGACAGGTTGGGGAATGCGGGTGCCTGGCGAGGCAGGTCGGGATGGGACGGGAGTGACGTGGCGAGATGTAGATCTCGAGGTGCCAGCGTACCGGAGTGCAGGGCCGCGGGGGTGTTGGACCCGTCGGATTGGTACGAAGTGCCCTTCGTCAACAGTGATGGACCGTGGAGTGCGATTAGGGCACGGTTGCCGATCACAGATGAAGAAAGGAGGTCTGTCTTCGCTGCTCTTTGGGTCGTCACGAGAAACGTCGACCTGATCCTGGGTGTCGAAGGCGTGCTCAAGTCGAGAGCAGTCGAAGAATTCGTCAGCCACGTTGATGGGGGGAGGAAGGGGGGGTGCGCGTGCTACAAAAGGCCGTGCTAGCTAGCTTACACCTACGGCGCCCGAGATGACACTAGGGTTCGCGATTCACGTGGGGCCCAGTACTGCTTTTGGCTAGTATGCAGCAGGAACCTAGTCCACGCGTCCGGTTAAGGACAAGCACCGCCCACTGAAGTGCAGGTGCTGAAAGGTTCGTTCCCTGAGCGTTGGCGATGTAATGTAGGCTATCTACGTATCGTATGGTATCGTAAGGGTGCGCACCACCCGACCTATGGGAAAGGAAAATGTGAGTGTGTGGGTTCCGAGAGAACGCCGGTCGCTTGGGGGAGTTTCGACCTAATGTCACGACTTGAGGTCAAGCGACAGGGAAATACCTAGAAGCGAGGGGCGTCCGACTGGTTCTCACCGAAGCGATGGTGAGCGAGGCTCAAACCTAAGGCTAGGGACAAGAAAATGTATTAGTTAGTAAGGGTAAGTAAAGGATACAAGTAAGAGCTTACTGACCTAGGGACAAGAGGTCGAAACTGAGGTCCCTAGGGCAGCAGAGGCCGGTTTATATACATGGGGAGATTAGGGCAGGCTGTGCGCGTTGGTCCGTGCGCAGCTGGTCCGTGCACAGCATGCCGACGCGGTCCCGGGGGCCGGTGAGTCAGAGCGGCTGTGTCAGCGGAGCCCGAGCTGTGCCGTGCGCTGCCGCCCCATCTAATCTAATCGTACAGTAGATATGATGCGTCCGTATCAGGCAAGTAGTACAGAGGTCGCGGGTTCGAACCCGCGAAAAGGAAAAAATTAAAAAACGGCTAGGCGCCGTGCCAACTCGTGACAGATGGAGAAGGACGCGCTCGCAAAGGGTGGAATCGGGTTCGTGCGCGGGGTTGTTGACGAGGACTAGGCGCGAGTCGTTTTGTATCGTAGTTGTACTCGTGTCGTAGAATTTTGCATAGATGGTCGAATGGAAAATGCGGCCCTTGGCCTAGACGGACCTAGCGGGAACTAAGAGAAAAGAAAATGAAAATAAGTGTTCGAAGCCTGTCGTAATATGATCGAAGGACATAGAAGGAAAAATAGAAATGTTCATAGCAAGGGAAAATGGACTTAATGAAAATATAGGCTCAGTTTGTCATCACAGCCTAGGAGGACTCGTCTAAGGTGAGCCTCCGCGCAACGGTCGAATCGAAGCGTTCGTAGAACGTCGAACGATGTCGCGGCTATCGAGTTGAATCGAAGGTATTCGTACAAAGGATGGTCTGGAACGTAGGAGAAAATCAAACATATCGCGTAACGTGAGAGCAGGAATGGAGAGACAAAAGGACGTATCGTGGTGTAAGAGTAACAAAAGGGAAGAACCTCTATTCGTCGCGTTCTTCGGCTTCTTCGACTTCATCATCGTCGTCGTCGCCTAGCGAAT